CAAACCACCCCAGTGCATGCCGGAGGTCACAGTGTAATGAAGCCAACAGAACCACATCATCTGCAAAGAGCAAAGATGCAACAAACAAGCACGGGGTTGTTGCTAAGTTTTCAGCTGCTTTGTAGTCCCCAAATGTGGCTGTTTTTTAGTGACCTGTTGCATTTGTCCAAGTCTTGCTGAAGAATAATTCTCATTCAGAAATCTTGCTGACTTTTGCTCATTGTTGAAGTTGCGGCAGATATTTTAACACGTCATAGTAGGAGAAGTACAGGTGTATTTAATAGCCTTAATGATAACTGAATTCCATTTAGAGGAAGTCCTGGGACTGCGCATGCTGGCACACTTAATGAAGCTGAGCCACTGTTAATGTCATCAGTTTCACCTGTGCTTTTCCTTCTATGACAAGTCAAATATCTGCTGTGAAAAGGGTCCATTGAAAATCTCCTAGATAAGAATAAGATATGTTTCCTTTACTGCAACACAACAAATTATTACCAGCACTTCTCTCTCCTACTCTTATTAATGCTTCAACCATTTTCTTCCTGCAAGAAGTCACCTTTCATGAGATTTCAAAACGAGACTTCTTATCAGCCAAACTTGGACACAAAACAGAGCGGAACAAGCTAAATGTGAGGAATTGGTTTTATTTCTCCGTCAGGTCCTTTCCATAATTTTTTACGACGATTATGTTAACAATCTGAGCCTCTCAGTGGCAAAATCAAACACTTTAACGGACATGAGTTGAGAGGGCTCACCTGCTCTGATTGGTTACATTACAGCATGTTGCGCCTCTCTCTCTCTCAATACTGGACCAATTTCAAAAATTGTTGTTTTCATGAGTCATGAGGAAATGGGCTCTTGGTTGAAAATTACTGAACTTAACCTTTATAGAACAATCTTAAGATAGCAAAGATGAGAATGAGAAGCATGACTTTATTTTATCCCTAAACACTGCGATTGTTGTCATTTTGTCAGGAAACAGTGAGCACAAATAGAAAAGCACTTAAAGTTTGTATTAGGGTTTATTAACCTGTCTCCACTTCACGCAGCCTCTATTTAGAGCTTCATTTCTTTTTCCGGTCAACAGCATAGATGATGTCAATGCAGTCTGGCAGCAACACCTCTCTATTCCCAGCCTGAGTGCTCAGAGGCAGCAGTGTACATGTAGGAGGCCTCCCACCGGCTCATGTGGGCAGAGTGAGTGCCGTCGCTCACATCAAAGCTGTCCAGCCAGAGATAGAAGGAACTGTTCGTCCTGTGTCGTGATCACTGACTCTGCTGTACAACGTGGTACTGTAAAACAACTCTGTTTAATTCATCCTGTGTTTCTAACACAACTTTCACATGTTGGCTTTATTTCCTCCTTACTTGAGTCTGTGGATATTCTCATTTATCCAGGTCAATTCCATTCTGGCAACAATTAAATCGTAGGCAACTGGACTTTGATTTTGTCTAGAAGACGCTGCAGAGGAGGAATGCAAGGACTCATACATTGGTGAAACCAAACAACCATTAAACAAGCGCATGGCTCAACACAGAAGGGCAAACTCCTCAGGTCCAGTTTCTGCTGTTTATTTACATCTAAAAGGAGAAGGCTCACTCCTTTGAGGACAGCAATGTGAAAATCTTGGACAGAGAGGACAGATGGTTCGAAAGAGGGGTGAAAGAATCCATCTACGTTAAAATAGAGAAACCGTCTCTAAACAGGGGAGGTGGCCTGAGACACCACCTATCCCCCATTTACAATGCGGCCCTTGCTGCTGTACCTAAGAGACTGAACAACAAAGACTGCGCGAAACTAACCTCAAGTGGCTCAAAGAAACACAACGACAGTCGTTCACTGGTAACCACACATCATGCCTAACGACTGTTGCTCACCAGTGGCCCCACCCACTCCTAACGACCGGCGTTCACTAGTGTGACTCACCTGACCCAAACAATGGTCCAGTGAAACTCCACTAACGAAGTATTGTCTTATGAGGGTGGTGGGTGTACACCTCCACAGAGGTTAAAAACCTGAGTCTTACTCCACTGTTAGTGAGTCAGACTAGTGAGGACTAGTCAGACTGATGCGTTGAGAACTGATGAAGCCGCTTGGATAAGAGGCGAAACGTCTTCTAGACAAAATCAAAGTCCAGTTGCCTACGATTTAATTGTTGCCAGAACTCCTTACTTGATCATTTTTGTACATATAATATGCTTGAATCTGAGCCTTTGCAGTTCTCTTTGTCTTTATCTGCATCCAATAGTGGAAAGTAATTAAAGTTATAAGCTTAAACAAGAGGTTTCCAACCATTTAGCTCATGACCCCTTAAAAATAACTAGACAGTTTACATCATGTCTGTAAAAACATGGATGCTTCGCACACATTTCCCCCCAGCAGCACAGGAGATCGCACTGACCTTGACCTTTGACCTTCAACCACCAAATTCTAATGAGTTCATTTATTCGAATCAGTTCACTAATCAGTCCAAGGGAACTCCCCTCCAGGCTCTCTTGAGACATCACGTTCACAAGAAAAACATGGATGCAAGGTCACAGTGATTTTGACCTTTGACCATCAAAAACTAATCAGTTCATCGTTCAGTCCAAGAGGACGTTTTTGCCTGTATTAAATAAATTCCCTCAAGTCGTTCGTACGCTATCAAGTTAAGGAGAATGTTATGTACAACCCCTCTATTTCTAATTTCCCCTCTAAATTTGAAACATCATTTGACTTACATAACTGAGGTCCAAAAAGCAAAATCTGTCCTGCATTTCCGTACTTTTACTTTGTTACTTTGAATGTGATTTGTTAAGAATACTTTTACTTAAGTAGCTTTTCAAATGCACAATTTTTACTTGTAATGGAGTGTTTATACATTATTGCATTGGTATTTTTACTCACGTAAAAGATCTGAGTATTTCCTCCACTACAGCCTCACATTATGGGAGATTGCGTCGTATAGCCTATTTACCTGAAATCCTGAGTGCAGAGCTGATCTTCTTCCAGGAGCTGTTTGTGTGTAGGGCTGTTGTCTGTTGGACAGATGTACAACTCTGGTAGCTCTGCACTAATTGATCAACTTCTTCTCCGTACTTATCACAGACTGATATTCATGAAAGAAGGGAAAGATATCTGCCGGCTGTGATTGGTTGGTCCTTGTTACACCACATGTGGTGCGTGCTGCTGCATTCCAAAAGTTGAGCTCAGGAACTGGAAAGAGAAATGCAATGCACCAGATCTAACCCAACCACCAGAAGAAATGTTGGCATTACGTTATCATGTAGCAGATATGTTGAAAATGTATGTTTCATGCTGCAATGGGCCGCTAAATAAACACCCATGTTTGGGGACTAAAAAGCTTCTGAAAGGTGATAATGACTCCCTAAAAAACAACCGGTTTTGTTGTTTGTTGATCTCGAACAGGCTCTCCATCTCCCAATGACAATGTCAGGTCATATACTACGTCACTTTAGAAATGTTGAGATATGTATGAAATGTACAAATGTAACACATTGGTGGCCAACATTTTCTTCTGAAAACTGGGCTGCCAGATTAGATTACAACAACTAATTGATCAGAAATCATTGCTCAGCTTTTACAATAACACTTGAAGTACACACATATATTCTCAGATCTGTTCTTTCAGGGCTGTCACACAGGTATGTAGTAAATCACAAGCTGAGGTTCAGATGAGGAAGCTTTTACACGTTTTGCATCTCTCATTAGTAAATTCATTCTTTCTGGAAGTATAGGCCCGTTTCCACCGCAGGAACTTCTGGGTAATTTTACGGGGCCGGGGCCGTTGGTGTGTGTCTCCACCTCAGGAACCACCCCCGAAGGACAGAGTTCCAGAACTTTTACAGGGGCTAAACAAGTCCCTTCTTCAGGGTAGGTACTCAGAACGGCCCCGAAAGACTCCTGGGTGGGGCTTGGGGATTACTTGGTGCTGATTGGATATATTCAAGGTGGGATGTGACGTCAACAGAAAGCAACAAAATAGCCAGCATTTTTAAAACTCAGCAGACGAAGAGTTGCATTTTTAAAAGGAGTTGTACGAAGAAAAGCAAGAAATGGAAGATAAATCGTATGTTGTTTTTCTTCTTTGTTTCTTTGCCGCATTGCACCGGTCAAAATGGTCGCACAACGATTACATCACATCCAGAGCCCGGTAACTTTACAGGAACTTTCTTCCTACTCTGCGCTCTCAGCGGAGACACGGCGGTTGAGAGGGCCGAGCGAGAGGACGTTCCTGTAAAGTTCCTGCCCCCCAAATAGTACCAGGAACTTCTTCAGTGGAAACGGGCCTTATGTGACTAAGTTAACTTCTGCTTCAAAGAAAAGTCTTACTTTGTTTTTCAGTTTAAACACAACTCAGGCAACTTTTATCACAGCGCACTTAAAACAAGAAACAAAAAGTTTTACTTCAGGAATAAAGTCTATGTGATTACTTTTATTCAAGCCCTATAATACTATACCAGTGCAGCTGGAGGCAAAGGTTCCCCTAGAACACTTCAATGAGAGTATTTGCTGATTTAGCAGAGGAGGAATGTCACAACTCCACAAGGCCTTGAGACGAGACGTCAGCACCCCAGCAGCAGCTTCAAGGAGGGGTTGTGTTCCCGTCCTTTACCTCTGACCAGCTGCGCAAGCAAACACACAGTTGCATCATGAATTACGCTCAACATTTAGTACAAGTGAGTTGGATAGTGAATGAAGAGACACAATATCTGGGTAATGATGATGGAAGTGAAATAATGCAGTGACGTAAATCAGCTGTCATGTTTAGTTTCCACATACCAGCCATTGTTTATTTTCCCTTTGTCAGTGTTATTGTCCTACAGGACTCATTTTCATTTATTCAGATTATTTTCTCAGGCATTATTTTCTTTGTGGGGTTCAAAACTTTTGTTGTGCCAGATGAGACACAAGTGTTTATTACCGCAATGTGGTTTTATTTTGTTTTTTCCTTTGTGGGTGAAAAATAAAACGCATCCATTGTGATGATTGTTCACAGGGGCTGACATTTCACGAGCACGCTCAATGACTCGTGAGTGATGACGCTGGAAATGTTGGGAGAGTCCGTTTGGGGATTGTTCGCGTCAACGTTCCTCCACCAACCACTCCTCCACCATCTCCTGAGAGGACACAATAACTGATGTTTTCCTTTTGGATTCAAAGCTGATGAGGAGAACACCAACCAACACCAATCTGCCCAGCCTATGATGTATAAAATATTGTAACATATTTATTTCCTAACTACCTCAGGAGATAGTTTTGCAGCTGCCAGGGGGAATGTGGAAAGTTTGAAGCTCTGTAATTTCTGGGGGATACATCTGACAAAATGTGTCTATATTCATCTCCCTGCAGATTTGATCCTGCACTGTGTATGAATGGAGTCAAATTCATAGCATGGTAGCGTATCAATATGCTCGTCCAGTAAAGTAGATTCTTAATGTGACTCTGATTCTTTAACTTTGACAATAAAACTTATTGAAGTATTCACACACCAGCAGCTCCCACAGCCACGGAACACTGTGAAAAACCTGACAAGAACACGAGGTGTTAATGAGACAGTGGTAAAATGCTGATTATGTTGTGAACCTCAGTGGTGACCACTGCTGAATATCAAAATGTGAGCTGGCAGGAAACTTTAGCACAATTACAAAATCAGGGAGTATCTGCACTCCACCCCCATTTTGTAGCAAAACCGCCTAAAATGACATACCCAAATTAAAATGACTGTAGCTTCTGAACCGCTTACTAAAACTGAGCTTCTATAAGGCAATGAATATTGCGGAGGGCGTGGCTCATCACATAAAGGTGTATAACATCTCAAGGGTTTCACCCATCACCACGCAACTTTGTAGGCATATGACCACACATAATCTGAGGGGACCCCTCCATTATTGACCCCATCAAACAAAATGGGGGCGCTAGAGAGCTCATTTCTTATCTAGGCCTAACCGCCATATGGATTTTTACTAAACTTGGTAGATATGTAGAACAGGACGCCTCAAGGTGACTGGAGAAATTTAACTCTAATTGGCAACTGGGTGGCGCTATAACAACAGAAAAATGCTTCAAAATGGCTAAAATGTGACCGATCGCTGTGGCTCCCCCTGTGGACCAGTGTTGGTGTTGTTTCTAATTTTTGGTATGACTAAGTCATGGTATGGTATGCTGTACATAATCACGGAAACTGTCAGTGTGTCATTCTGTCAGTCAGTCAGTCATTCTACCAGTGTGCCCCACTTTTAAGTCAATACAATATATAAACACTTTAAATAATTTCCCCTCGGGGATCAATAAAGTATTTCTTTCTGATTCTGAACTATCTGCCTTTCAACGTGCTACCTCAACTACTAATGTACAGTTTTAGCCCACTAACTATCCCACTATTGGCAATGGTACTACTGTACTTTCAATAAAGCAATCGTACTATCAAATCCACCAAGCCTCTGTCTGAATACATTGCTCTTCTTAATGGGTTCAGTTGACTATTTAATCTGCAATTTCCTATGACCTGTATCCCAAACACACACCATGTGAAACTGTGCGTGGGCAACTGTGCACTCAATGGTTATGGACTAGTTGCATTCTCGGAACCCATCGGCTGTATTCGGCGTCTGACGTCTGGCAGACGGCGATACAGCCTCTGGGGGCAGACCACCGATTTTTTGGCATTCTGGTTTGATTTGGGCGGAGGAGGCGAATTTCCATTTCCGACTTCCGTTTATATATATAAGTAAATATGCTGAACCATTGCGATGGATTCAGAGTTTGCAGTGACGCCAATTATGTTCCACCTCGTTAGTTCACCGCACGCCCTCTGCGAAATTTCAAAACACGAGTAACCTCTGATTTACACAGGCTGGGTGTGGCTTTAAAGAGAACACGAGCATTAATGGCGCCATGTTCAGGGAAAACCGCTTTTCAATGAATTTAAATCCCACTGAGTGTCTTCACAGTCCCGTCTATTCCTGCTACTTTCTGCCCTATGAATGGACTTCCGTATTTCCATGCCTCTCAAACGTGACTCGGCACCGTACACGTGACCACAAACCAACCAATAGGAGCGCTGGATTCGAAGCACGTCGTCGTCCACGTTTGAGAAGTCTAGTGCTGCATTCTCGGGCGATGGGAAATAATAATAAAAGTCGGATATTTTGACGTTATATTACGGTTCGTGTAGATTCTCCGGCCGGAAAATACAACAGTTTGAGCTTCTGTATGATCTTTTCTTAACCCGTCTGATCTGATATCACTGTAACGGCGAAAATGGCTGCCCACTAGCACACGAAATGCAGTATTTCTTTACACAAAACGAGACAGTTCACACAAAATGGATGTTTTCACCATGTTTTACACCAACAATACTCTTACACGTAGTCATGTTATTGTCTTTGTTGTTACTGTCAAGTGATTTCGTCAATAACTGCTTTAAAAGCGTAGGCACTGTCAACATATGAGCACCCGGTTATTTTTAAACCGTTGTGCCATGAAAGCAGCGGGACAGTGGGCTCAGTAGATGGAGCATGCGCAGTGAGCCAAACTCTTATGAAACAAAGTAGTGCAGCAGCAGAGAGCAGCAGGTAAATGGAGACAGTCACCTACTGGACACACATCACCCTCCCGTTCTTCAAAACACAGGGAGGAAATGCTTCTTTCTTTGGGTTTGACATAAAATACAACCTCCGGGGAGCCAGTACAAGGTAAGACTGATGTTTTTGGCCGCTTTATACGGGTTAGTTTTAAGGAAGAACCGGCTGTACTTTCATAAACAGCGCCACTGCTTACATAAGGATTGCTCTGGTGACCCCGTTTTGGTCAACACTGATGTTGTTTCCTTCCCACAGACTTGAATGTCAAGTATACTTTAAACTCCTTAATTTCACCCCAGCATGTTCAGCATCACTTAATTTGCACTGTAATATGATATTTATTGTGTGTATGTGTATGAGGTGGGTGCAATGTGTGCCCCCATTGAGAACAGACGATGTGACCCAATTTCTAAATGTAGAAGTCATATTGAAGGAGCCATCACTGGGACACTTAGAAATTAGCAACATAATATAAGATATTTTAAATATAACTGTAGTAGAAGCTGAAGTGTACTGATGTGTTACTGATTTTAAAATGATATTTGTGAGATGCTTTTTACAGAGGGTGCTCATGTTGACAGCGACCTGAGTAATTAGTTTTTAAAATTTTAATTATTCTTTTTCTTTCGACCTATTCTGCAGACAGTTAATCACAGAAAACACTCAAATATCAAAATGTTAAGATCATTATTATACTTAAAAAAGTAAGCTATTATTTTCTTCCAAAAACAGTGTAATGTAACTTCATGGAGAGACTCTTTAACTCATCTTAAACTTACTCCACTTGCTACTCCTGCAAACTTTCAACTAGCCCACAGAAACCATACAAATATAAAAATGTTCAGCTCTTTAGGACATGTGTGCTTTCCTTATTTGTTTTTTTCTAGCAATTATTAATTTAAAGATAATGGGCATTTATTTTGGTATAATGTCATGTATTGTACGGAGAGAATTTGCTCCTACTCCTCTTGAAAAATGCTGTTCCCTCTGCACGCTTTAAGCTACAGGCTTCATTTAAACGTTAAATGGATTGCAAGACTCTAAACTTCAGCATTGTGATATCTTTAACATTTTAATTTTCATGCTGTTATCAGGCCCTCTCTGAGCTTAGATTGTGTTACATGACCTGTCACCTAAACTGACCCCCCGTCTGCCTCTCTGCTTTTGGCAAATTTTGTGACTTGACCATAGAGCTGGGCAGTAAATCAATATTATGTTAAGTTATTGTGGTAATATTGATATCTAGGTAAAATTATTGTGATTTTTGAAGTCCCACGTACATGTGCTGAATTAAAGCTGCTGTTGGGTTTGGGTGTTTTGGTTAAACCCAACAGCAACCGGACTGAGACCATCTGATTTCCCCACGAGGGTTTTAATGATGTAGGATGACAGTTGCCATGACTGCCCAATCAAAGAATTACCCATCAGTCTGTTTAACTTCATGTTTACTGCTCTTGGTTTGTTTGCAAAAAGACAGTGTGAACATGAACTGGACCAACACTAAATGCAACAATATATTACTGTTGTCCCCGCTCTTTTTGGGACCTCTGTTTCTACTGTTGCAGATGTTTACAGATTCAAACCTTCAGGTCAGGGTGTGTTGTTGTGTTACTTTTTGCACTATTATCTACCTCTGTTAAATTGGCAATAATAATAAGAACTCTGGTACTGTAAACATACATGTGAAAGTCTTAATTCATATAGACTTTGCATGATTATTTTATTTCCCAGAGGTTTACTGCCTTTATGCACATCATATTTATGTTGTGTTCAAATTGTTCATATGCTGCTTGTTCCACACAATTTCTGATAATAAAAGTATTTGAAAATAGTAAAATGTTCTTCCTTCAATGTATATCTTTGTAACGTGTGTTTGAACTATATTTAAGCTATCAAAAGCAGGTATTTCGGGGGTTTTTAAAATTGAAAAACATAAAAATTTAATCGTCCGATATATCGGTTATCGGATTTTTTTATTCCATAATATCGGAATCGGCATCAGCCCCACAAAATCCATACTGGTCGGGCCCTAATAAATTCATGTTTGTGTCTGTATACATATACCCATACAAGCAACCCCTGCAATGTTAATTCATGTTGCATTAAGACCAGTCTAACCAGCATTTCTGGATTTTATTTAATACATACGTCAAAATTTATGGAAGGTGACAGTGAATGAGCTTCCAAAATATACCCTTATTTTAATTAAGGCAAATAATATATATTCACAATTTGTTTTATCAGTAATCTGATTAATTGTGAATTGTCAATACTTTTTCATAGTCCTCCTAATTACAAAGTAATACTTGCCAGGCTCAAGTCAATTTATTAAAACCCATTTACATCCATTCATGCACTCAGCTGGTGTCACATCCATCCCCGTCTCCTCTCCATCCCATGTCAAATATTTTCATTTATATAAAGTTGTGTTGGGGTGCAGTTTTATTGACGAGGGTATTTTGTAATTTGGAGATGTTTCTTTGTGAATTGCAGATGAGACATGAGTGTTCCCAACACTGGTGACGTATGTTTTATTGCCTCAGAGAGACTGCTGGGTGTCACTGTGCCAGAGAAACTGACACATTTTGCACTGTAAAAAAAAATCTGTGGCGGAGAATGTGATGAGTAATATCTCTGCTTGTGACAAATGATTACAGTGTGTGCCAGGTTCATCAAAAGGTAAATGCTGCACGTAATGACAGGTGGCCCGCAGCGACACAGCCACAGGGGACACTTTAGAGAGAAACTGCAGAACTTCCTGCTTATTAATAAAGTTTTGTGGCATATTGTCAGCAACAGGTTTGGCCTATTTTAAGCGAAACTGCACAGTTGCCAGCAGAGATGGCATATAGATGAGTGAATGGTGATGAATGAAATTGAGCTTGGTAGCAAGTCAGTGATCCACAACAGCAACTGCTATTTTCTGTGAGAAAAAGAGCAATGGCATTGCCTTGAATTCAGTTTTGAATATTAGTTTCTGTTGAATTTCAGTGTGAATGAAGCGTGCCGGCCAACAAGCTCTCAGTAAGTCAAGACCTCCTGTACGGTAGATACAGTAGATACAGTAAATGAATCCGCTGCTACGCCAAACGTTAGCTTTACACCCAGCTAATTAACCATTTAAAGTAGTCATGGCCTGGACCCCTGCCAGGGACGTTGTGTTCAGTTAATCTGCCAGCCACTGAGCTCCACATTAACGACTCTACAACATCCACCTATAGACAAAAATGTAATAATGACATTTGTTAGGCTAAAAAACCCACAAGCAACGATATTAGCAGTGAGACATGAGGTTTATCCGGTCACAGAGTGAGCAGGCTTTCCTAAGATACACCTGGATTCAAAAGTAACACCCGTTAGGCCTCAGATGGCAGTAAAAGTTGCTCTGTTTTCAGCAGCTAAATCCCCAAGTGTCACCTGTCACACAGGCTGGAAGAGTATTTCGACCTTACTGTGTTAAAGCCTCAGTATCTGCCTGATGTTTAGGCTTTGTCCCTACTTGACTGCAGCCTGGTTTATGCAGTAATCCAGTGGATTTGTACCACACAGGCTGCTTGTTCTATACATACACAGCTTGGACAAGAAGTACACCATCAAATGTCATCCCTCATAATCATAATCATCATCATGAAAATGTTCCTGGCAGGTGACGTGTTAGTCTTATTATCAGTATTTTATGGGTTGTAGCCTGTAAAGAACACAGTAGAAAGACAGGAAGTGTTCACTGTGTGTGTTTAGCCACAGAGACACCGCAGCACCAGGAGCAGATACATGCATGTCTCTCATCTCTTGAATCTAACATGTACATGACTGCAAATAGGAGTCATTCAAGTACAAAGAAATTGTCATAGAATATTACACATATGTAAATCTGTACGTAAAATTTGGACAATTCTGCTGTTGAATAAACAGCACTGTTTTAAGTCAGTATTGATAGGATATTTGTGCCACTCAACCGGAACAGTTACTGCATGACCAAATAAATCGATATCATGAAGTACTTTATATATAATTTATATCATGATACAAGAATCACTCCTAATTGACTGATTGATAAGATGGTTGTTGAATAATTGTCTGTCTCTCAACTAATCAATTGATCGTTGTAAAACAGATCATTTTTATATAGGGATGCACTGATTTATTGACCTTACATCAGTATTGGCCGATATTCTCCTTGTTGACTGACATCAGCCTATCGATGAATAAGATGACGTTCACTGATGACAGTGGCTGATGTTTTTCTGTTGTGCCACATCAATTGACCTATGGCCAAGCCACGCCCCCCTCCACTCACTCAGACAAACTATCAACATTCAGTGAGCGGCGCTATGGCAGGTGTCACAGTACACGGCATTTCACAGGAGGCAACTGATGATTTTTGTAGACATAACGATCAGATGTCATTGAGAAGTAACCAAAAGGGCCTAAACTACGCATTGGAAGGATATATTCATCATTTTATTGTTGAGAAGGTCGATGAAAAGCTTAAATTACAAGCCAAAATTTACAGGTCACAGTGTACGCTTGTGAACCGCATCTGGTTGCCGTCACCATCAAAGACAACAAGTTAAAGTGCCACTGAAGTTAAGGTTTTTGGCTCAGAATATGAGAAAAGGATAACGGCCTTTTTACCATCTTTACCAAGAGTGTCTCTCTGTTAGTTTGGTGCTACAGTATTTACACTGAATCATTCAGCATAACGTTTGCCAACCTTTGTTATCTCTGCCATTACAGATAAGTTAATGAAGCTAAGCTCCAGAAGTTAACGTTAGCTTAACTAGAGCCCTTTGGACAACAGCTAACAATGATGTACGATCACCAAAGTACAAAACTAGAACAAAATAGGCTAATGAACTCCCAGCAAACAAGGTGACATGATGAACAACGCAGCTAGGAGCTAACGTTAGGCTAACTTTAGCTAACGTTAGCTAGAGATGTTAAAGATAACTTTATATTTCTTTCCAGCAAAGTGACAATATGTTGCCTCAAACACAATGTTGACTTACCTTAGAGCAGATGTAGACATCATTGTTAATCTTATTCACGTTGAGTTGATGTTGTGGTCTAACGTTACCACACAACTTTATCCAAAGGAGACACTTTTCTCGGTTGAGATGTGGTTTAAAGTGTAAAAATACACCTGGTCGCCCAGCCTCTCAGGATACCTTGTGTCAGAGTTGCATGTACCCCATGCACACCGTTTGACCATTTTTAAACTTCAAATCTCAGAAAAAGCTCATAAAACCGAACAAACCTGACTTTCTGTAATGCATTTCAATGGACGTCCAGGCAGAGAATGTCCCAGTGTATGGGAATGGCTATACGCACTGTGATTGGCTCATCGCATTTGAGGGCGGGACTTAGCCATAGCTCAATTAAGCGCAGGCTATAAAGCAGGGCTCCAAACGAATGGCTTTTCATCGTCCTGGGGACAAAAACATTGTCATATACATTGGGTTATGGTTGCAGTGATATACTGGTTTTAAGGTACACCATGATATAGAAGTTGACTGTTGTCATACTGTGTACATTTGCTTATATTGGAAAAATATGAAACTGGACGAAGAGTCTCCTTTTTATTTAACTTATTTTCAGAAGGGAGACTTTTTCTACAAACTTCCATTAACAAACTGGTTTCAAGTTTTAGTTACAGTAATAAAAATATCCCTTCCATTTTCATTCCTTTATGGATCATTCTAAGTGATAATAATATAAATTATATAAAACCGTGTTTCCGTGACACCACAACATTTCTGAGAGGTTGCATTGAGTTATAATTTGATGTGTTCAAGATCCATTCAGTAAAAATGAGTCCTGGACGAAGGCAAATTATCATATAATTCTGTCATAATCCTGTAAAATGTAGTTTTAGGCAAGAAACTTGAATAAATATAGTTGTTTGAAGGAGGAATTTGTTGATGTTTTCACAGTATGACATAAAATAGATATTAGAAAGGGAATTGTTGTATATTGAATAAGGTAGAAGGACTTTTGAAGCAGTTTATTTCAAAGACTTTTTCATATGAAAGAAGCTTATATTAAAGTTTGTTCTATAAATTTGTATGATTGAATTTGTGCTTATTCAAAGGTAGCGTAATGTAGGCTAAGTAACTTTAAAACAGTTATTTTTGTATTTCTTTGTTTCCCTGGAGCAAAAGGGGGTACAAACAACAACCAAAACAAAATAAGCAATCTGTACATCCCTATTTTTATATTCAAATACCATCAGGCTTTTGAAATGGCATCTCTTTATTCTGTGATCTTACCTTTGGCTGCCTGTGTTGGCACAATGAAAGTTTTAGTTTACAAGCTCCAAACACCTAAATATGTCTCTGCCTACAGTAGAAAGCATAAAAACTCTTTGGCTGTAGCATCGTGTTGGTGTTCCTGTTCGTATTGTTCTATTCTTGTCACACCCCACGCTGTTGGCAACTGCTACAACTTGGGTGCTTCAGTTATCTCTCCTGTTGGGAGACATTGAGTTTTGGTACTGAGTGGACAGTAAAAAGGAGCAGACGGCGTCACGTTCTGTTCCCCACATGCGGAGCTGTCGTCTTCATTCAGCTACATAAAAGAAGCACCTTTCAGTCATTTACAGCTCTTCACTGTTGGCTTCAGCAAACTCACTGATTCTCCTCTTCCCCTCCGTCACTTTCTTCTCTCAGATTAAAATGGCCCCAAATTCCATCCACTGGTTCCGTAAGGGCCTCCGTCTCCATGACAACCCAGCACTACAGGAGGCAGTCAGAGGAGCAGGCACAGTGCGCTGTGTTTACTTCCTGGACCCTTGGTTTGCAGGCTCGTCCAATGTCGGAGTCAACAGGTGGAGGTAAGATGATTTCCTTTTTTTTTTCATTGTCCAGTTTAAGATTTTTGTGCACTAGTTGTTTAGAGACTACAAACCACTCACTGGGTCTCATACAAGAAATGTTTGTAAATCTGTGAGTAGATTTGCACATAAAAAAACCTTGGTACTAAAAACCTACACCGGATTCATGAACCCAGAGAGAAACACTGATTTGATCATAGGCACGTGTGTCTGTTCAGGAATGGCAATCAGCTGGAAATTGACAGCGCTCCCGCTAGTCAGCTATTAGCATACATCCCCATCTAAGAATAGCCGGTAATCACCATATCTGGAGGTAATAATTACTACGGATAGGTGTCGACCTGTGAGCATGGAGCAAACGAAGAAAGAGACAAAGGCAAACTTTTCCAACGCTGAGACTGAAGTTATTTTGGGTGAAGTGGAGTTGAGGAAACATTTTATTTTCCTTTGTTAGTAGTGGTGTGACAGAGACAGGTAAATCAAAGGCCCGGAAGAAGGCAATTGTTAACTCTGTGTCCTGTTGTAAGAACCATCCATTACGAGCAGTCAGAAGCAGGACTAGATTTTGTTAGTAACTATGAAAAGATCGGCTCTACTACCATCTTGATGGATGTGGAAATGCACGGAAATTTTCTTCTGTGAACAGTTTACACACAAATTCATTCGGCTCACGTCTCATGAATCAGACCCACTGTCTGGAAGCACTTTTCGTAGAGTCGTTTCACAGAACCATGTTATGCATTTCCTTATTTCAAATTCATGGTTCCCAGCCTGCGGGTCACAACGTAAACCTCAGGGATCACGAGATGATTAAGAGGGTAGGAAAGCAAAAAAAAAAAAAGTATTTGTGCTTTCCATAATCTTTGCTATTTTTCATTTATAGGCCTATTACTTGATTGTTTTAAACTATTCATAGTTTGAAGTTCCAAGTTCTGTATTGCTATATGCACAACAATTACAAAGAAGCCGTCATTGCCTTGGGCTGCTTCCTACAGTGTTCATTAAATTGGTGGTGGGTTAGGGTTAGGGCATGACCTGCACTGCTCTCCCTTACTCTGCCAATGATTGGCTTACCCTGATATTCTTACCCTGACCTTGACCAATCTCACTCCTCTCGCCGAAACCTAACCAACCCGAACAACGAAGGTAATGAGTACTAGCCATTCATAGGGAGAGTAACCAGTACTAGGAATCAGAGGGAGAATAAGGCAGGTCTTGCCCTCACCATCCCAGGAAACGCAACTTTGCAACAGGGACAGCTAGTGATGGACTTGGCGAAATCAGCAGGAGGATATTTGTGCCCATTATTATTGGTTTTCAACACAAGAAAGATAGACTACGACTGCCATACACAATGCAGTAAAAATAAAGTTAAAAATGGAAATAAGATAAATTGGATTCAATTCACAAGAATTATGAACCATGTTACCAGTGTCCCTTAAAAATGTAAAACAACGTACTGCTAAACTATGAGGGAAATGTCTTGATTCTTTGATTTTTGAGTTGCTGGAAAAGAAATCCTGACAACAAATTTGAGTTCTGGACACCACTGACAAGATATAGACATGATATTCCAAGGTAAAATCCAATTTTTGTACTTTGAAGTAGCTCCATTTCTGAACACTTGACATCTGTAAAACCGGTCAGGTGTTTACAGATGTTTTCTTTTGAAAAAGGAATGCAGAATAATATTGGTTCGTCATCGGTGTCGACCAATATTGGCTTTAAAATGAACTGTCAGAATTGGTCAACTTGTTTTTTCTTGATTTGCTCAATGAATGAATATTACACACACTGAAAAGTATTGTATTTCATGTCTCCATCTGCTGGTGGGCCGTCATGAAAAGAGTATGCACGCATAATATGATGTTAATTATTAATACTAGGCAAGATTATATCAAATAAGTAGCCCTCCATATAACTCTTTACTCTTCAGGTCTGATATGTTTGTCAAATTAGGAATGTGACTGTCACATATTTTATTGCTTTTGCACAACAATGACGACAGTCAGTCACAGAGGAGCTGCTGGAAGCGGTGACTCACACGTAATGAGGAGTTGACTTGCTGAGAGGAGGGACAGGGGGAAATAGGAAGCATGGAGCTGCAGTGCTTCAACACACAACATGATGTCAGCATTTCTCTGCTTTTGAATCTTTCTGTGTTGTATCTGTTGTGTCCTCTGCTCATAGCCTGTCAGAATTTTATATCTTTTTCAGACTTGTCTTCTGCTCCTACATGAATCACAATTTTGATTAAAGAAATCCATTATTAAGAATTTCTTTTGGCCCTTAGTTGTGGTTTTGAATGCACCACCGATGACAAAAGGTTGTTTTTAAAAAACACCCCTTAATTTAAGTGGATTTAGACAAAATAAACAAGCGTTAAGAGCCTTGACCTGGCTGCACCTGCTCAGCCCGCTTCACAGCCACAGGGCGCCCTTTTGTTTCAGTACCTGGTCACATAATCCCCATTATAGAGGTCAGGTCAGCAGGTATACTTAGGACTCGGTGACTGGATGAATAGGCTGCAGCAGGAGTCTGGCTCCTCTAAAAGAAACATACTCCAGGGGGCCTCAGAAGTAGGTTATTAGAATAGGTATACAGTCAGCTGGGAGAAATGGAGTGTAAATAGTCTGTGTGTGTGTCTTGTAAGATTAAGCTGGGCCCCGTGTTGAGGGACTGCGTGTGAGTTCATGTGAGTGCCGAGTCTGTTTGTAAACCGTCATATCTTCCCTGCAGGGAAGAAGAGTAGATATCATTTCTGCAGTAATTGCTCGCTGGCCCGTTTTTGGTCTGAGGTGCTATTTGTAGTCTCAGTGCAGGAATAGTCAATACTGAAGTCAGTGACCTCATGACGTCCATCTGATCGTTACACTAAAAATGGATTGGCGGTGGCATCCAGGAGGAAATGCACATCAGTGACGCACATGCCTGTCTGCCTCTCACAGATTCCAAAACATAATTTATAGGTCATCAGTGAAGCAGATTCACTTTTTTATTTTTTTGAAATGCAGACCTCATGCAGCTAACCGATAGCATGTCACCTGGCCTTGATAAGTCTCGTCAGCATCACCAACACAATGCGAAAGTACAAACTGGTGACGCTCAATGTTATCAGGTCCAAATGGACGTTTCTGAAGATATCAATGCAGTTTTGGACTAAATATATGTTGAAATTATAAACTGCAGATAACTGACACATAGAGTCAGAGTCACATGTGTTTTCCTTATTCAGCCAGTGCATCTGTCAACTATAGTCGACAAGACAATACCAAAATAACTTATGCCAGAGACAGGTTTTTTGACATGGTTAATAAATGATGAACAGATTTTGTTGTATTTCTCCTCTGAACCGTGTACTAAGTAGCTTACTTTTTCCAAAATTAATGGTAGCATCACCTACCTGTTCCACTTAATATAAGTAGGGGGACTCCATCTCTTCCAATTAAATGATATGAGACAGCGTGCATCTGCAGCATCACAGCTGTAATGCAGGTGTGATTGCATTTTTATGGAGGTGAGAAAGCCCTTTCTCGATCTAAACTACTCTAGAAACTGCAGTCAGAGGGTTAGGAGTTAATGTTTCACTACCTGTTGCTGAAAGTGAATTTAAGACAGAAGTGTTTTTGCACCAGGCTGTTAACATGTTTATATCTGCTGCAAAGTTGGACATTTTAACATGGGGGTCTGTGGGGATTGACTTGCTCTTGGAGTCAGCCTCAAGTGGCCATTAGAGGAACTGCAGTTTTTGGCACTTTTGCCTTGGCTTCATTTTCAGCCTCGGAGGTTGCCATTAGGCCCGTACACTGAACTGGACTGGCAAAACCTGAATGTATCCCATTCCACTCACAGGTGAGACAGGAAGGTTGAGATGTTAAACGTCCTTAACCCTATGGGCCCTAGGCGTTTTTGGGGTATTTTTACTGCCTTTACTTTTAAGCTCTCATCACAGTCATTATAAAGGCTACATACACATGCTATATCTTGTTTTTTTCATCAAGACAATGTGGGCTATCCAGATTTGCCATCATTTCATGTCCTTCTATGTGCCTGTGTTTTATATAAATTTTTATATCAATGAAAAAACAAATCTGTGTTAAATTCTTACATATTTACATGTATCTCACCATAGCAAGTTGGAAGTTGACATATTCTACCATATATGAAGAGGGGAGACTCCCTGGAATCTGGCAATATAAGAACCATGATGGTGGGATATTCTGTCACTTCACAGCTGTCCAAAACATGTGGTTTGTGCCAGGCGGACATGATTGCCAGTATTTTTTCATTATTGCAAGAAATTCCATTGACTCATTCACAAAAATGTGTTTCATCTGAAAGAAACATGCAATATTTACATCTAAGATCATAGAAAAATAGTCAACCAAGTTCAATGATGTCCTCCAAGATAATATTTGCCACTATGTTTGCAGTGTCCCCCTCAATGCATATGGTGACTACGGCCCTGTCAGCATGCATAATTAGGCTGCAGTTGTCTGGGTGCGCAAAGGTGAAGTGGCTGGTCTTGTCATACAAAGTTTGATGGAGTGTCAACTGGACAATATGGAGATATTTGCATCTTGAAAGCCGGACTACAAATGTGGATAGACAGGGAGAAACACACGCAAGCCTAAGACGTGGTAAGATACGATATTCCTCACTATATGAAGTGACTGATAACAAGATCTGTATAATGGACTGTAAAGAAATTCGTCAGGTTTTTATTTTGTAGACAATTAATCTGGATTTATAGCGTGATGGGATGACAGCACAATGGTGTGTGTGGTATCACTAGAAAAATCTGCTCCTGCGCTTTCATGTGATATGCGTGGCATTTTTGTGCGACCCTGCATTTGCGAGTAATCCATCCAAGAGTATTGTGTGTGCAAAGCTGTATGAAAGCTCTGTTATACATCATTTTAGTGTAACTTTATCATTTTTTTTTTTCGCTGTGACGCACAGTCGCGGAAAAAATCAATAGAGAAGAACAGGTGTGAATT